GTTTTACACCACTAAGTTTTGGGGTTGTTTGTTATACAACAAAGGTAACTAAAACACCTTCTTTTAGAATCTGTGTGTTTAGGTAGTTGGCTGGCTAGTTAGAGGCTATATTTCCTAGCCTCCTGTCTTGTAGGGGAATGTGGTTATAAGTCTTGCCTGTGGGATGGGAGTGGAAATGAGGCAATTTCCAAGTCAATAAAACAGTAAGTTGTATGCTTCCTCTCCCTCTCCCACTTCTCTCAGCTGAGACAGTGACAACTGGAGCAGCTACCTAGGATCCAGACATTGCATTTGGCTGTCACAGGTTAGGTTCCCCAGGCAGCAGACTCAGCAGAATTTAGAGTTCAGAATATTTAAAAGGAGTTTCCCAGGGATCAACACCTAAAGGGAGGGGAAGAAAGCAGGAGCGGCAAAGGGAAAAGCTAGTTTGCAATTGCGGACCCAATGACAGCCTCAGCCAAGCCCACAGAGAGCTCAGGAGCTAAAACAGCCCTTCAGAACTGTTCCCCTTTGAGTCTCAATGGCCTTTATACTCCCACCTGTATCTGTCATTGGATATGGGTCATCCTGTCCTATGCTTTTGTTGTTATAATTACAACATATTAGTTGTCTATTAGTGAATAACAACCCAAAGTTTAGTGGCTAAACCCCACGTTCATCATCACAGTTTGTGTGTAAAGAATTCAGAAATGTACAGGGTTGCGTAAGCTGTTGTCTGAGGCTTCAGTCATCTGCAAAACCCAAAGGATTCCATTCACTCACTCGGTTGCTGACAGGGCTCTTCCTTACCACTGGCCACCCTCCTCAGGCTGCCTAAGTGTCCTCACAACATGGCAGTTGGTGATCTAAGGGGAGAGAATCAGAGTCCAAGACAGAAGCCACCGTCTTTTTAAAACCTCATCTCAGCAGGGACATCCCTAAATGAAATCGGTAAGACCAGCCCACACTCAAGAAGGGTTACATAAGGATGGAATCCCAGCCAGCAGGGACATGGCAGGCTCAGAGGCTGACTACCACGGACAGCATGCACACAATTTTGAATCCCGCCTTTTTCAGTTTTGTTTTGCTACATGTTCTTCATTTTAAAAAGTTTTAAAAATTATGGAAGCGGTATTTTTTAATCCTCCCCCGCAACATGCCTCATCCCCCTACTGTGTCCATGAGTTATGCTTATATGCATGCATACAAGTCCTTTGGTTGATCTCTCACCCCCCTTGAAAGCAATATTCTTATAAAAAATTTCAAATATGTAAATACATGTCTAATTTTTTTTATGTTTTCCTATTAGTTGAAGAACCTAATCTGCTGAAATACTTCACATCTACATAATATACATACACACAGATATATAGTATTATATATTTAATGTTAATATATCATGGAGCCCTTTTCATATCACTATGTAAAGATCTGGGTCATTCTTCTAAACATTGGCATATTATTACACTAAAAATACGTTAAGCAGTCTCCTATTGATAGACATTTAAATTTTTTATTTATCTAACAAAAGATGCAAATGTACATTCTTATCCATGTTTCTTTGCAAAGTCATGCTGGTGTAACTTTAGGATTAATTCCTGGGAAGTACAATTCCTGGGTCTAAGAAATGCACATTTAAAATTTTGATGGATATTAGTGTATGACTATGTCTAAATAATGGCTAACATTGAGTATCAGTAAATTTAAAATTTTTGTCAGATCCAGCCATGGCCAACACTGAGTTATGTACATACCTGTATTAGACTGTTATGACATTAGTGTAATTACCTTTTATTACACCATTAGCTTCTTGAGGCACCAACTTAACAGCATTTCTTTTTGTAGTCCTAGTACTTAATGTCATACTTGACACACAGTAGACACTCTGCAAATGTTTAATAAATGTCAGAGTTGAATTTAAGGTTTGAGAAATCAGAGGAGCTGGTTCAAACTATATAAAACATGCCTCCAATTTGACCCTAATTCTCTCTGGCCTCCATTCTCTCAATTATAAAATACATGTGTAAGACCAGATTTTTTTCTGCACTCCTTTTCAGATCCAAAATTATATGCTTTTAAGAAGTAAATTAATGTTATCTTCTGCTCTCTCTACATACCAATTTCAAATTAAACATAAACTAATCACTAATCTTAGACCATACATTTGCCATATTTTTCAATACCAAAATATTCTCAGTTTAAGTTATTTAAAAAATATTATGTCAGCAGAAACCGGTTTGGCTCAGTGGTAGAGCGTCGGTCTGTGGACTGAAAGAACGGTCCCAGGTTTGATTCCGGTCAAGGGCATGTATGTTGGTTATGGGCACATCCCCAGTAGGGGGTGTGCAGGAGGCAGCACACCCCGTTTCTCTCTCATCGACATTTCTAGATCTCTATCTCTCTCCCTTCCTCTCTGTAAAAAATCAATAAAATATATTAAAAAAAATAAAATAAAAAATGTCAAAATTTTTGAAAATCAGTCAAAAAATTTCAGTGGTATAAAACCACAAGAATATACATTAAGCAATGAGTATTTGGTTCTGAGATCCTTGTTTTCTTAAAATATGGACCCTAAGTCTAGTCAGTTTTCTCATTAACATTTTTATCTCCTGGGTTAAACTAAATAAGCAAACTAACTAGAGTACTATGCAATTGTTAAGATACTTTGAAATACTGGTTATTAAAAATTATTAGGGAATAATTATCAGCTATCTTCATATTTTTATAAAATGTCACTCTATATGTATATAGACTTTTTTGTTCCAACAGATCCTTATTTTTTTTTTTGCATCTACTTGTTTCCAAAAGTTGAGTCAATCACAAACATAAAGTCTAACCATCCTAAGAGAGAATCAGCTTTATAAAGTATCCTAAAGAATAGTTTGTCATATTTATGTATAGCATTAATTTCTGCATGAATCATAATTTTTAGCCACTTCACTGGTAATGGGTCTGTAATGACTTTGCTAATGACATTTTAGCAGTAGTCAAGAATGACAATGTTAACATTTAAATGTTAACTTTAGTTCTTTCTTGGGAGCTTGAATAGTGGTGGGATAATTTGTTTGGGCAGCAGAAGGCTCAGTTTATATTAGCCAAAGCTTTATGTTGGCAAAAGAATCCACTCGTCATGCACATCAATAGCTCTAACTCTCCCTCACTACCTTTTCTATCATTCGCATATAGTTTTCTCTCTTCTGATAGCACCATTTTATGTTTTGCTCTCTTTTAATAAATCTTACAATGACTGGTAAAAATTCCGTCAGAATAAGCAGGATTCTGTATAATTAATTTTCACAACTCTAGTGAGATACTGTAGTAGCAGTATTTCATTGACTGGGTTGACCTTGAACAAGCTACTTAATTACTCTTGAGCTTTATTAAAAAAATGCTTTTCCTGAAAAAAGATACAACCTGGAGCTTACATTAGATATGACTTTCCCTTACAATCAATAGAACTGAGTTTATATCAGGAAAGCAGAAAGGAATAATGATTACAAAAGGATTCTGAAGATGAATTCTGAAAAAATTTAAGAAAGCTTTAGATTACCTCCAAGATTAACTGTAAAATTTTTACTTTTTGTTTTGACAATTAAGAATTATGAAAGCTGCCGAGACCGGTTTGGCTCAATGGATAGAGCATCGGCTTGGGGACTGAAGGGTCCCGGGTTCGATTCCGGTCAAAGGCATGTACCTTGGTTGCGGGCATATCCCCGGTAGGGGGTGTGCAAGAGGCAGCTGATCGATGACTCATTGATGTTTCTAACTCTCTATCTCCCTTCCTCTCTGTACAAAATCAATAAAATATATTTTTTTAAAAAAACAAAAAAAAATTATGAAAGCTATTAGTTTGTTTTCTATTACTGGAAGTTTATTTGACTTAATACTATACATGATACTAATATAGTGAATATGAAACATCAATGAGGACCCACATTATAGATCTCAAGACCTCCCTCATTCCCAGTGGGTGTATGTACGTATAATCTATTATCCAAAAAAAAATGTCACGTAACAGGTTTAAGAGAATACAGAAAAATGTGTTACCCATTAAGCTCCTCAATATCAATTCTTAGAAATTGCATCAATGACAGGGAATTATGTGTAGCAATTAAGAACAATACATTCTGGAGTCAGAGACTGAGTCTGACTTTTTTGCTGTGGCTTTGAGCAAGCTACCTAATATACCTAGGCTTCCATTTCTTCACCTGCAAAATGAGATCATACTACCTCATAGAATCAGAGCAAGGACAAGATAATACATGCAAGCTTAGTGGTTACTTAACACATATAAAACGTTGAATAATCATTAGCTATCATTATTATAATTTTCCAGGATACATACAGTATATGATTATGTATTTTTTCTATGTACTCACTCTGACAGAAAGCTTAAAGCTTTATTTTAACAATAAAAAAAAGGGTCCTGCCCTGGCCAGTGTAGCTCAGAGTGTCAGCCTACGCACTGACAGGTTATGGGCTTGATTCTCGGTCAAGGGCACAAACCTGGGTTGAAAATTCCATTCTGGCCCCAGTTGGGGCTGGTGCAGAGGCCATCAATGTGTGTCTCTTACATCAATATTTCTTCCTCTCTCCCTTCCTCCCTCACTCATTCTCTCTCTCTAAAAATAAATGGAAAAAATATCCTTAGGTGATTTAAACAAAACAAATTAAACAGGGGTCCTTCTTTTACACATTTACAAACATAAATGACCTAAAAAGATGAACAAAAATTCATATTTTAAGGATTTTCTTTGTATTCGTCAGAAAGTCTATCAATATCAATGCTTTTACATGAAAAAGAGTCTGTGTACATGTTTATTAAACTATTTAATGTTTACACACAATACATAAACATTCTTGGAAGCTCAAAGTTCTCTGATGATTGAAATATTGTTTTCAAATAAGCATGATAGAACCTTAAATATTACATCATTCAGATTATTTTTAAAGAGAAACCTTTAAGAGATCACTCCAACATAACTGTCCATTAAGTATCTGTAGCAAAACTGGAAGATGTTTCAGCATATGGATGGTTCCTCTACTGCCTGGGCTCCCTCTGTGACAGCTTTAACACATTTGGCCATTGTCTGTGAGGCTCTGCTGATTGAATCTGAAAGATATTAAGAGAAGTTGAATTTTGATAATATAACTTTTAAGGAAGCATATAGTAAAACTCTGTTTCACATTTTCAGGAACAAAAAAAAAGGCTAGATAAAATTATGCAACTATGTGTAAATTTTGTGAGATCAATCAACAAATTCAGAGGATAAGCCCCTTATTAGCTAAATGCTTTTAATAAATATTCCTAGGTATAATTAAATAATTCTATACAGCCAAACAATGTGCCAATATGCAACCATTAAACATGTTATAGAAAAGCATTAAAGACTCTGGAAAAATATGTAAAATAAATATATACTGTAATTGAAAAGAAGTTCACACAACAATGTATATTAAAATGCATTCAATTGTACACTTTATTGGTAAATTTCATGGCATATAAATTACATTTCAACAGCTATAAAAAGCAAACAGATTAGAATGGGGGGTTGAGGACAAATATGTGATACCTTAATCAATAAAGAAATTTTTTTAAAAAAGCAAACAAGAACCCATAGTAACTGAATAATGTTTTTGTTAAAATAAATAATATATGGCTCTAACTAGTTTGGCTCATGGATAGAGTATCGGCCTGTGGACTGAAAGGTCCCAGGTTCAATTCCAGTCAAGGGCACGTACCTTGGTTGGGGGCACATCCCCAGTAGGAGGTGTGCAGGAGGCAACTGGTTGATGTTTCTCTCTCATCAATATTTCTAACTTCTATCCCTCTCTCTTCCTCTCTGTAAAAAATCAATAAAAATATTTTTAAAAAATAAAAATAAGTAAATAATGTATGTATATATCCCTGAGTGATTGGCCAAAATGTTAAAAAATATAGCTATTTCTGAGTAGTGGGGTCATAGTGATTTCCTTGGTATTTTTAGCTTAGGCATATATTCTACAATGAATACAACTTTTATAACATAACTAAACATCCTATTAAAAATAATCTTAGACACAAATTGTATCAAAAAAATTAAAATATACTCATACCTGATTTTAAATATAAAAAAATATATAAATCATCTATGAAGTACCTCTTAACCTAATGTTACATTAAGTGTTGTAAGATGTACAGTAAACAAGTTTCAATTATTCTGCATTCCTTAAAAACATTCCTAACCCCTTCCATTAGAAGCACCATTTAACATGTTTTACCACTGAAGTATTTTGATTTTTCTACTGTAATTCTCAGGAAAACTTTTGCAGAAAAATTCTCCCTAAATTGCTACACAGTGATTTTAAATACAACAGTAAAATTTTATATTTAAAATCTGTTAACTTTCCCTGCATTTTCAAACTCTCCTTATATTTCAGAAAAGGGAATTACAGTAAAATTAGAAAATATGAATTATACTACTGATATTTTAAAATCTTTAAAAATTAAAAATATTAAATACTAACAGGTTATAATCACAATGTTGAATTATTCCTTACCACATTTGACACTTGCCAGTCATGTTGACAATTACATACCTGTCATATAGAAGTCTTTTATTGTTAGTTGAGGTGGAACAAGAGGATCAGCAAGTAGTTGCTGGTTCACTAGCTGCAAAAGAGGAGAAAGAGATCAACAATAGCATTAAAAAATAACCATTGTTACCTAAAGGATACACTGTTATGAAAACTGCATACAGATAAGTTTTTACCTTGGAGAGCTCACTTGCTTGCTGGAAATAATTAGCTCCTTCAACATCATCATATCGAACAAGATTAGGAGAGACTTCTTCCAATCTGTTCCTTACTTGATCCAGAGTATCATATGGAAGAGTTATGCCTGCAATCTATAACATATCAGGACCCAAAATTTGACATAAAACTTTAATACTTAAAATTTTCAAATAGTACATGGATGAGCAAAAGTAGGGTCACAATTGTTTATATGGAAAATAACACAATAATCTCTATTATAAAAGGCCAGTAGCCATAACGCTGAAACGCCAAAATGACCAGTCACCAGGAGATGCATAGAGCACCTCTTGGTCTCCCCCCCCCCCCCCCCCCGCCTCCGCCCCACAAGCCACTTGGGGCGGCGGAGCAGGGCTTGTGGTGAACTACCGTACTCATGCATGGCAGGTCTGGGTCTTGCACGATTTTGGGTACTGGGCCTCTAGTGAATAAATAAATCTCTCTATATAAAAGACTAATATGCAAAGTGTCCCCTTGGGAGTTCAAACGCTTACCATGATGTAACCACCAGGGGGCAGCACGGAATGAAGGCAGACCCTGGCAGGCCAGGTCTAGGGACCCTATCTGTGCATGAATTTTGTGCATCTGACCTCTAGTTAAGAATAACCGCTGTGTTGCACATACAACTGTAAACCTGCTTTTGCTCATCCCTATCTGTAATTGCAACTATGGTGAAATAATATAGTACTACTGCAAAATCTACTGGTGTCCATTAGTGTGTATATTAAGCAAGGGGGTAAGGGGAACACAACTGTAAAAAATTCTGGTAATTCATAAATAGGTGTCAGTACATTAGTAATTTGTCTTTAGAAAATAGACTGATTATGAAATAAATGATTAAAGAGATAATGCTATGCTAAATGTGACTGCTTTTGTTATTGATCATATATAGCTTATAAACAATTGTACAATATTTTAAATCTCATGATGATTCTTTTTACAGTAAAAAGTTAAAATACCAATCTCAAATATCCATTGTTTAAACACATTCTCCCTATAGAGATAATTCAAATCTTCTCTGCATTACAGACTTGACTCTGAAAACCATTCTGACAAGCTAACATGTCAAGCAACCGAGAATAAATACCTCTGAGAGGGCTCTTAAGATTTTCCAGTCTTCTCTCGCCAAGCCAGGAGGTGTCACTGCTACTTTAGTCTGCTGAGCTCGGCCCTCGGTATTCACATAAGTAGCAGACTTCTCTGTGTAAGCTGCTCCTGGGAGAATAACATCAGCTATTGGAGCTCCAACATCACCATGATGTCCTGTGAAAAGACAGAAAATGGCAAACAACATTTTAGTAAAAAACTGATTAGGTACTATTATGTGAACATAGTAAACATTTTAAAAATTATAAAAGTGTTTTAAAAATTAAAAATACAATACTGAAATACTGGAATAGCCGAAACCGGTTTGGCTCAGTAAATAAGCGTCAGCTTGCGGATTAAAAGGTCCCGGGTTTGATTCCGGTCAAGGGCATGTACTTTGGTTGCAGGCACATCCCCAGTGGGGGGTGTGCAAGAGGCAGCTGATTGATGATTCTCTCTCATTGATGTTTCTAACTCTATCCCTCTCTTTTCTTCTCTGTAAAAAAATTAATAAAATATATTTTTTTAAAAATACTGGAATAAAGATTAAAACCAACCTTACCCACAATTTATCTCCTTTCCCAAAGAAAATTAGTGTTAAAGTATTTGATATGTATCTTCCCAGATTGTTTGCAAATACACAAATATATACCTCATACACATATATAGTGGCAACTAGGTATATTATTTCTCTTGATGATTATAAAGTGAAAATGCTCAGATAAGAATAAGACAGTGTCCTAGTCAGCTTGGCTGAGTGGATAGAGCCTTGGCCTGGGAACTGAAGGGTCATGGGTTTGATTCCAGTCAAGAACATATGCCTGGATTGCAGGCTTGATCTCCACCCAGTAGGGGGCGTGCAAGAGGCAGCCAATCAATGATTCTCTCTCATCAGTGCTGTTTCTATCTTTCCCTCTCCCTTCCTCTCTGAAATCAATAAAAATACATTAAATACACACACACACACACACACACACACACACACACACACACACACACACAATAACACCCTTAAAAAAATAAGACAGTAATAATACTAAGAAAGGTATATACAGAAAATTATAGAAAATAGTACTATACTGAATCACTAATAGTTTAACAAAACTTGTTTTTTGGAAAAATGAAATTCAATGAATAGTTACAACACAACATATAAACTTTGATCTCATTTGGGTACATGCTTATATAAGCATAGGAAAATGTACGAAGCATGTACATCAAAACCATCATCACCCTAGTTGGGTAGCTCAGCTGGTTAGAGCATCAATCCCTTATGCCAAGGTTGTGGGTTTAATCCTGAATGTATAAATAAGTAGAATAGCAAATCTCTTTCTCTCAAAATAAAATTTAAAAATAAATTACTTAATAAACAATAACAAACCACCATAAATAATTATCTCTGGATAGGACTAGAATTTGAGTTTATGCATTTTGGTTTAACTTTATCAAACTGAAGATACAAACTAGCTCCATGAAAAGCCTATTGTAAATTTATGGTGTTTATGTGGAAAATTATGTAATACTTTTCTCTGTAAAATATCCAGAAAACTCTAGACTTCCATTTATTCCAGGGAAACTTATTTTATTTATAATGAGAGTTCAAGAAAATAAGTCAAATATAAAAAGCCCAAGGAGCACTATTAAATATGATGCATTAAACTCCTGTAACCAAGAACTCATGATTTTTAACTTTTTTACAGTTTCTTTGAAAAGCTGATTTTTAATATTATACAGTATATTACTGTATAAATAAACTATAATTTAACCATTCCTGTTACTAGAAGCATTTAGGTTTAATTCTGTTATTAAATCACATCAAGTAATAAATCTTAATAGCAATATCAACTACATAACAAATAAAAACTATAACTTGGCTTTAAAAATATTGGGAGGGTATGTGTGGGCAACTCCTGAATGGAAAATATTCAATCCACTGACTATATTTCCAAACAGTTTCTAAGATACAGTGTACTATTCTCTTCCGTTGCTGGTGTCACAGATGCTACTTACCTTGATAAATAATGAAACAATCCTTTGGCAAATCCTGTCGAGTGATACAGCCTCCATCTGCTCCCAGGAGAAACAACACTTTGGGAGGGTTCTTTCGAATTGCTTCCACCCCAGGCTTATAGCCCAGGTCTAAAGCAGCTACTTGGCTGGCAATCCTGCAGAATTAGGGAATTTTAGCATAAGTACCATGTTTCACTATAAAAAAAAAATTAAATGACCATTGGCTGGTGTGGCTCAATTGGTAGGAGCATTGTTCCATACACCAAAAGGTCAAAGGTCAAGGGTTCTATTCCTAGGTTGCCCTTTCTATCCTTAGCTGGTCAGGGCATTAACAGAAGGCAACTGGTCGATATTTCTTTCTCACACTGATGCTTTGCACTCTCTCTCCCCAGTTCCTCTCTCTGAAAAATCAATGAAAATGTCCTCAGGATTAAAAAAAAATTTTTTTAATGTGATACCTAATTTATTTTCTATTCATGCTGTCAAAAACCACCCCTCATATTTTTTATCCATTTAAAACAGATGTCGCCCCAGTGCGCCCCGGAGCGCCGCAGCAGCCCCCGACCCAGAGCAGTGCCCAAAGAAGACTGCAGCTAGAAACTTGTCTGGCGAAACCCAGTCCAGGGGTTGGCGTAACCATCCCCAGAAGCAGGTATTTTTCTAAAACGCCAGGGGGACACGGACAGATTGTTAGGAACCACGGCTGTCCCGCCAAGGGCAGAACACCTGGACACCTCTGATCCCCCTCACCCCCTTGCATCTGAATACTCGGGAAGGTCCGCCCAGTTGGGCATATCCGGGAAATTGCAGGGGGAAATTGCCTTCCCGGAAACAAGGGATCGGAGCCAAAAGAGATAGTTTGGGAACCAGATGGCACTCTGCCCGCTAGAGCCATAGAGAAAGAAGGCCAGAGCAACCTAAAGACTGGGAAATCAAACCAGTAACACTGACACCTAAGGACTGAATTACAAACTGCCTTTTTTTTTTTTTTTTTTTTCTTTTTTCTCCTTTTTTTCCTGTTTTTTCTTTTTCTTTTTCTTTTAACTAATAAAAAATAAGTGGACACAAATAACTAAGATATAGCCTACCTAAAATTGAGGACTACTTTACAAAACTGAGGTGCAGTGGAATGCTGGGAACTGCAAGACTCTCTGGTCCGAGAATCAGGCGTGCCAAATACAATAACAGAAGGAGTGAATGATCACTACTGGACGTTTTTATGTTAATTTTACTATTCTTTATTTTATTGACATTTTTTACATCTCTTATTTAATCTTCATTTTTTACATCCTTGCTTAAGAAACGATTTTTTTTCTTTTTGCCTTACTTGATTTTACCTTTTCAATTATTACCTTTTTTAATCTCTATCATCACTATTACTACTGCTAATTTGCAATTTTTTTTCTCTCTCTTTCTTCTTCTCCTCTCCAGTACCATTTTATTTTTTCTTTATTTTACATTGGGAATAACCTTCATTCTATTTTAATCTCTACTATAGAACCATTCAACCCTATCTCAACTCGACCTTTAAAACATCACTCTCTTACTAAACTTTAATCTTTTAATCTCAGGTTTATCCTATCCCTTTCCAGCTTTAGTTTTTCCTCTATTCTTTCTGTATACCCTCTGCTAAAGCTCTCACTATACTTATAGACCTAAGTTCCAACCCCTGATCCAAGTGTATAAATACCATTCTCTGCACTATATTAACTAGTTAAAAAAAAAAAAAAAAAAAAACCTGTTCTACTTTCTATACTTTTCTCATTGTTTATGTGAAGGTTGATTATTGTGAATTTTTATGCTTTTTAGTGAAACTGTTATGCTTATTCCTGTGTTATTATTGTTGCTCTGAATTTTTCAAAAATACTCTGTTTTTGTTTGTTTCTTTTACCTCTGTATATCATAGCCTTACTTAATAATAGTAGATATTGTAGTTTGTACTAATCACCAAGTATTGTTACTGGCATTGACTGGGCTCAGTGGTTGTTTTATGGTAATTTTCTCCACATATATATAGTTTGTCTCTCACTTCTCTTTTAGTTTGCTTCTTCTCTCTCTCTCTCTCTCTCTCTCTCTCTCTCTCTCTCTCTCTCTCTTACAATATTTCCCTGTTTTCCAATTTCAATTTATTATTACTTTTTTTTTTTTTTTACCTTTTTTTTTTCTCTTTTCTTTTTTTTTTCTTTCTCCTTCTTTTTTTTCTTCTTTTCTTCTTTGACTATCTCTTTATCCCACTTTTTTAATTTACTTATTACTTTCTTTATTTTTATTTCTTTTCATTTATTTATTTTTTTTTATTTATTTTTTTTTCTTTATTTTATTTTTACCTTCCTTCCTTCTCTCCCATCCCCTAATTTGCCTTTCTCTAGTGGTCACCTTTATTAGAGGTTATTAATATTGTAAATACATTCCTGTTCAGTGCCTCTTGTGTTGTACCTGGTAGTGTTATATCTTGCACCTTTAAATCAACGCAAGGGAAGGAATACCACATAACCAGACATCCTGAAAAAAGAGATACCATGGGAAGACAAAAAAATATGCCGCACATGAAAGAAAAGCAGGCATCACCAGAAAAGGAAGTAAACCAGTCAGAGACAAGCAGCCTACCAGAGCAAGAGTTCAGAATAATGATCATAGGTTGGCTAAAAAGAATGGAAGAGAAATTTGACAATAACCAAGAAGAAATGAGGAAGAACCATGAGGAATGGAAGAAGAGCCATGAAGAATTGAGGAAGAACCAAGAAGAAATAAAAAATGACATCGCTACCATGAAGAACTCAATAGAAAGCATCAAGAGTAGACTAGATGAAGCAGAGGACCGCATCAGTGAGCTAGAAGACAAGTTGGAAAAAAATACCCAATTAGAGCAGCTTCTAGAAAAAAAGATTAAAAAGCAGGAGGAGAGTCTACGGGAGCTTTGGGACAATACAAAACAAAATAATATTCGAATAATAGGGGTTCCTGAAGGAAAGGAAACTGAAGTAGACATGGAAAAAGTATTTCAAGAAATAATGACTGAAAACTTTCCTGAGATAGAGAAGAAAAAACCCACACAAATCCAAGATGCTTGCAGAGTCCCAAGCAAAATGAATCCCAGAAGACAGACGCCAAGGCATATTATAATTAAAGTGGCAAACAACAGCGACAAAGTAAGAATCTTAAAAGCAGCCAGAGAGAGACAGAAAGTTACATACAAAGGAACCCCCATCAGACTAGCAACTGATTTCTCAACAGAAACATATCAGGCCAGAAGGGAATGGGATGAAATATACAAAATCATGCAAAGGAAGGGTCTGAATCCAAGAATACTGTACCCAGCAAGGCTATCAATCAAAATTGAAGGAGAAATCAGGAGCTTCACAGACAAAAAAAGACTGAAGGAATTTATCTCCACCAAACCAGCAATGCAAGAAATGCTAAAGGGTTTACTGTAAATATAAAGAAATAGGAAGTGAAGAAGGAACAGGGGTATAAAAAAAAAAAACAGATGTCAAAAGCAGAAATAATAGTCTTTTACTTTTGAGAATGGCAAAAAACAAACAAGATGTCTAGGGACACTGTGTTTCTTCATTAGCTAATATTTAATGAAATAATTTTGGAAGCTTTCTGCCAATTGCAATTACTTTAAGTTGATTCTTATTCCATACAGTTAAGTCACAAAACACATAAGCCAAACACAGTAAATTAAAGAAAAATAGGTGATTTTGAAAGCCAAAAGGGATAAATTTAAAGACACTCATAAAACTGTAATTCAGAGAAAATTATAATGAACACAATGGTGTATGTCTGTATGGAATTTTTTTCCTGTGAACATATTATTCTTATTAGAAAATAATCTTTTAAAGATAGATGTCCCAAAACCGGTTTGGCTCCAGGGGATAGAGAGTTGGCCTACGGACTGAAGGGGCCCAGGTCAAGGGCATATACTTTGGTTGCGGGCACGTCCCCAGTGGGGGGTGTGCTGGAGGCAGCTGATCAATGTTTCTCTTTCATCGATGTTTCTCTATCCCTCTCCCTCCTCTCTGTAAAGGATCAATAAAATACATATTTTTTAAAAAAGAAAGAAAATAGATGTTTCTCTCTTACATTGATGTTTCTCTTTCTCCCTTTCTATTCTTCTCTCTCTCCAATCTATGGAAACACATCCTCTGGTGAAGATTAAAAAAAAAAAAAATCATAGTTGAGTCCTTTGCAGAAACTGAACAGCTGATCCTAAAATTCATATGGAACACAAAAGACCCAGAATAGCCAAACCTATCTTAAAAATGAAAGTGGTGCCCAGCCAGCATGGCTCAGTGGTTGTATGTTGACTTATGAACCAGGAGGTTACAGTTCAATTCCTGATCAGGACACATGCCCAGGTGTGAGTTCAAACCCCATGGTGGAATGTGCAAGAGGCAGCCAATGATTCTCTCTCATCATTGATGTTTCTATCTCTCTCTCTCTCTCTCTTTTCCTCTCTGAAATCAATAAAGAAATATATACTTTTTAAAAAATTATTTCTAATACCAAGAAGAAATTTTTATTTGGTAATAAAAATCGTTCAAAGTCAGGATACAAAATTGTATGCACAGTATGATTTTGACTATACTATTTTACAGGGGAAATAAAAGACCAGATAGGAGTACATTAAATAGCAATAGTAGTTATCTACAGATAGTGGAATAAAGATAATTTTTATTTCATACACTTTCTTCTCTTTCAGACTTTCTTAAACTTGATTAATAGTCACCAAAAAACTTCATATAACCCTGACTGGTTTGGTTCAGTGGATAGAGCATCGGCCTGTGGACAGAAGGGTCCAGGATCGATTCTGGTCAAGGGCACGTACCTTGGTTGCAGGCACATCCCCAGTAGGAGGTGTGCAGGAGGCAGCTGATTGATATTTCTCTCTCATAGATGTTTTTAACTCTCTCCCTCTCCCTTCCTCTCTGTAAAAAATCAATAAAATATATATATATTTTTAAAACTTCAGATATATTCTCATTAGCTTACATTTTCATCATTTAATCAAAGATGTTGCAATTTTTGAAACAAGTTATACTGATTCAGATTTTCAAGATTTTCTCAGCACTTACTGCAATTTTGGATATTTTAAAATATTTTTTATTATCTTGGGTTTTTCTCACAAAGAAAGTAAAGGTTTCTATTTCATACCAGCTGAGATAATGTTAAGTATTAATTTGTAAATGTGACAATGTAATCCATTTATACACAAAATTACTTGAATTTTATAGTATGTAAAACAATACTCAACATACCTATGAAGGATATTCATAACTTTCCAATCACCGGCAACACCACTGCTCATCCGAATCTTTTGAGCAATACTGGAAACAGCTGCAAGAATTGCTGCCCCATCATTTCTTTGGAGAGCAGAACTACCTAAAACCACCATAGGTTTTTTAGCTTCCTTTAGGACCTACGAAAAAAATTTTTTTTAACTTTTATTAAAAACACATGAAAACTAAACAACCAAATTTGAATCTATAATATGTTGTCCCCAAGTTTAGTTAGTCAACATATAGACATATATATATAGCCATAATTATTCACATTACCAGTGCTATGTGAAATGATTAGACAAGTACCATGAGATAAAACTGATTTTCTAAAAGTAAGCATGAGGAATCAAAATCCAACCAAACCATCTTTGGTCAGGAAGACTATGAGTGAGAAAAACTGGGGAACGTCCTCTATCGAGATTCAGATGGCACTGTGTAACAGGAGAAACCATGGTAAGTACCATGTCTACTGTCTTCTATCTACTCTCTAGGACCCAAACAGAGAGGAGGCGGTAGGGAAAGCAATGACTGATAGAGCCCAATGCAGTTTGCTTTCAAACATAGCAACTTCCTGAATGCCAAAGACTAAGGGGAAACCCAAGAGGAAAGGAAACTACACATTTGGTAGAAGATGAAAAAATTAGAAGTAAAGCTGTGGACTAAGTAGCTCACTCTCCTGTCCAACCTCTGTATCATTCTTCAACAGACAGCTAGCCCTAATCAAACAATCTGCATGAGTACTATGCCGAGGTACTACAAAGAGGAGGATACTCATTGCAAGAGAATTTTCCCAAGGAAATGTGAAGAGTTCAGATAAAGTTTCAATAGCCTCAAACAAAAAGAAAAACACACTTTTATCACACTTAAAAAAAAAAAAAAAAGATTTCAGTGTGGCTCAGTGGTTGAGCATTAATCGACACATGGACCAAGAGGTCACTGGTTCCATTCTCAGGGTACATGCCCTGGTTTCTGGATCAATTCTCAGCAGAGAGCATGCAGAAAGCAGCCAATCAATGTTGATGTTTCTCTCTCATCAATGTTTCTATCTTTTCCTCCCCCTTTTTCTATCCTCTTCCCCCCAAAATCAGTAAAGACATAAAAAATAAAAAAAAAAAGAGTTCAGATAAGTGACATAATAAAGGATATAATACAATAAGAGATTTTCGTAATCAGAACTAAGGAGAGAACTAGAAGGGAAATTAGATATGAACAACAATCCAGAAACAATAAAGAACAAAATAAAACATGACTGTAAATACAGGAACAAGAAAGGCTATAAAAATTATATAAAACAAACTGAAAAAGAACGAAGGAAAAAATGGCAGAAAAGATAGAAAAAAAGATCCAATATCTGCATGGTTAAGTGTTCTTGATAAAGAGGATAGAATTGCCCAGCCAGTGTGGCAAGCTTGATCTCCAGTAAGGGGCATGCAGAGGCAGATCATTGATGTTTCTTTAAAAAAATAAAAAATAAAAATAAAAAATAAAAAAGAAATTATACACACACACACACACTCACACACATTATTTCAAAGAAGAAGGGAGAAGGAGAAAGAGATAGAGACATCAATGACAAGAGAGAATAATTGATTGGCTGCCTCCTGCACAACCCCTACTGGGGGTCGAGCCCACAACCCCAGTATGTGCCTTTGACCAGACCTTGGATCATGGGTTTGATTCCCAGTCAAGGGCACATACCTCCAGTCAGGAAGCATGTGTGAGGCAACCAGTCAATAAACCTCTCTTACATGGATGTTTCTCTCTCTCCCCTCCCCTTTCCTTTCCATTTTCTCTCTCTAAAGATCAATGAAAGAGATCTTCGGGTAAAAATTAAAACAAAGAAAGAATAAGAACTTCAATGAAGTTTCACTTCAAAGTCTTTTCTGATAATTTCAAGTAAAATTGAACTATGGTAAATAAAAACAGCACGTATGATATCACTTCATTGTTGTTTGCCTGTTATTCATCTATCTTGCTCTATATATGAACAGAGAAATGGTTATAATGTATTATCAATACTTGTTTGGGGCAGTAGGATTTTAAATGTTTTACTTCCATGATCTTGTCTATACTGCTGTAATTTTTAACAGTAATCACATAACATTACAAAAGCAAGAAATTTTAACAATACTTAAAAATCAGTAAGTGTAGATAGATACATGTAACTTGAAAGTACCTGGCTGAATGGATGGGTACCCGAAGCAATGTTTTGAAGAATTTGGGGAGAATCTCCCAGATGGTCGTATCTGTAAGTGAGATCCACTTGGCTGCCTATAAGGGCCACTTTTAAGTCATTATGAAGCCAGCTGAAATAAAAACAGCAACGTTTTCAGAATGAAATTACTGAGCTATTGGTCTCATTAATGCTAGTGTTACATGTTATTTATGTTACAAAATGTTAAAAGCACAAAAACATTAGCAGAATATTTACTTAACAGATATAATTTACTGTGTACCTTTCAAAATAAAATGTTGCAAAAATACACACTAAGGTATTCAATTAATTAATTTTCTGTGTAAGAATGCTAACTGTATAAACAAGCTATAAATAAAAACTAATTTTAGAATAAAAGATCTGTATATTTGCCATATTTACACAATAGAATTATCTCCTAATTATCCACTAAAGCCACTTAAATATAGTTCATCAAAGCCCTGTTGGGTGGCATCATCTGGTTGCATGTTCAATTCCCAGTCAGGGAATATAACTAGGTGGCAGGTTTGATCCCATTGGGACACATATGGGAGGCAACCAATCAATGTTTCTCTCTCACACCACTATTTCTCTCTCTCTCCTGCCCCCCCCCTTTCTCTAAAAATCAATAAACATATCCTCGAGTGAGGAATATATACATCATATATGTATTTCATGAAAACAACTACCTCATTCATATTTACTCTCTCTGACATGAAAGTATGGATCCAGTTTCTCAAAAAGAGTTATAAATGCCGTGAGCACATGTTTTGATTTGTCTGAGACAGTGCTGGCTGTTACTTGTTATCCTGGAGTAATTAACACCTCCCTATTTCACTCTCAACAGTGTCCCGGTTTAGACAATAAATTATATGACTGACCTATCCATAGGTCTCTAAGATACAAAAAGATGGAGAGGCATTCTACAAAATAATTACTCTGTGTTCTTAAAAAAAAAATGCCCCCAAAAAGGGACTGAGGAATCATAACACTAATTACAATGTGTGACTCCAGACTAGATTCTGGCAGGAAAAAAAATTACTCAAACAATTATGGGAAAATTGGTAAAATCTAGACATAAACTGTGGAATAAATAATATTGCATCGATACTAAATACTTGATTATTTAAAAGAATGTTTCTTGTTCTTAGGAGACCCACATAGAAGTATTTAGGAATAAAAGGACATCATGTTTAAAATTTACTTTCAAATAATTCAGAAAATTACATTCACACATATCTACATGGAATAAGAATAATAAAACAAATATGACAAAATGTTAACATTGGTTAATCTGGGTGAGCAGTATTACAAATAGAGTGCATACAAAGATCATTTCAAGCATCCTGAATTATCCTATATAATAAAGAGATAATATGCATATTAACCCTCACACCCTTACAAGATGGCTGCCTACAATCAGGCCTGCAGGGGGGGCTGTTAGTGAGGGACGATCAAATGACTGAAGAAGTAGGCTGCAGGGCGGGGAGGGGGGGGGGGGGCGTGGCACGGTTCAGCTGGGGGCGACCAGGCCAGCGGAGGGGATAGGTGAGCGATTAGGAGCCAGTGGTCCAGGATTTTGAGAGGGATGTCTGATTGCTGAGAGGGATACCAAATTGGAGAGGGTGCAGACTGGGCTGAGGGGACACCCCCCACCATTTACAAATTTCGTGCACTCTAGTTTAAAAATAAAAGATCATTAGGAGGAGAGGGGTATAGACCTGTTAGAAACTGTCCTCCAATAGTATTTTAAAGTTTTACTCTAACACTTAGAAATCAGCTAACGTTATAAGTTTTCATATATAAAACAAATTATCACATAAATATATTTAAAACCTGAATACTATTACTAACCTCTTTCGAATTCTAGCATTAAATAGTGGTGCCTCAAAACGTGGATTTGTACCAACCAGAAGGACAACATCTGCCTCTTCCACACCAGCAATTGTAGTATTAAGAAGATAATTGGAACGCAAATCTGTGCTAGAAATACAAAATTAAAAATACAAGTTTACTTTAAAACTAATATACACTGACAATCTACAAATATCTTCATGTCAACAAACCTATGGCAATCCCAGACAAAACATTTATAGGAAGTATTCCTAAACTACATCAAAGTTTCAGAAACTTATTTATAATTGGATTCTGCAATAGCTCCTGATTTAATGCTGATCTATATGTGAAAATCAATTAGTGGGCATGTTAGAGAACCCAAGTTGTCACATTTCAGCCATAGATACCAGTACTCTAGACGTGCTGGAAGTGGGGAGGCAGGAAGGAAGGAAACCTAAATCCTAGTCCATAATTCTCACCCAGCTCCTGCCGTGGGGAAGACCTCTTCAGTGCACAGGGTGTCAGAGTCCACTCTATTAAGCAAATCTTTGAGAGCTACTAGGGCTTCAGCATCCACCAAGCCACCTGCAATTGCTGCTACATCTTTGCCTTTAAAAGTCTGCAACTGGAAATGAATGCAAAAGGTATCACTAAGAAGTTTTCATTCAACAAAGACCACAATGAACATTTCAGAAAACAAAATAATCATTGCACACATACAATTTCCAATTGTAACTGAAAAATAAAATAAAATAAAAATCATTTTCAAGTAGAAAAAAAAGCAACAAACTTCTAATAAAATTTCATACCAATGATTAATCTAACAGTGAGATGCAGAGGTATATGTTGGACCAATCCTAATAGCAGCAATTTGGAAGGAAGCTGTTGGTTTTAAATTAGGAACAAAAGGGCCTTAATATGAGGTCTAGAGGATGAAGAGTAGGAGTTATGGTTAAATACAACTTTTTCCAAGTGCCTGTCATTCCCTCAACCCTTCATGTTGAAAGGCATCCCCTCTACTTTTGCTCTGGCAAACTAGTATTCATTATTCTTAAATTCTGCCTGAGGAGTCACCTTATCCAGGAAGGCACCCTTGATATATTAGCCCTGGTTAAGCACCACTCACTTATCATTTATATTTCATATATGATTTCCTGCACAACTACCCATTGCAGCATATGATAATTGCCTAATTAGGGATCCTTCCTTCCAAGACTGTGTTAGTTATTTCTACATCCCTGCATCTAGCATTACATCTGGCATACATTTCTCAATAAATGTTTGGTAAAGATAATCTTCGTAAAGGGCAAGAAGTGAAAAAATAAAGATGTCACTGAAAAATCACAAATACTACTTATTCTATATTTCAATGTTTTACCATTCCGGCTACACGAGAGAGTGCATCCTCCCAGGAGGTATAGGTTAAAAGCCCTCTTTCATTTCTGACCATCGGCTCGGTAAGTCTTTGACGTTTTAGCCCATCATAGGCAAATCTAGATAACAGAAATTACACCATTTGTGGAACCTTGATAAAGAGGCAACTATAATTTCCAAGTTTAAAATCTAAAAAAAAAAGTTATTTAAATTCAGTATCAAGTAAGTTAATAAACACCTGACAAGCAATTGTTTGTTTTAGATGTAAACTAATAAATATTTTATGAACATCAGATAAAAACTAAAACACCATCTATAAAGCTTGAATTATTATAACTTATTTTTAGCTACCTGAATAATCTTAAAATTATACAAATATAACTGAAAAAGCTAAATCATTTTTATTTATAAAACTTGAGTGCCTCTAGATATTTCATCAAAAAACTATGCTGCATAAACTCTTATATTTTGCTTATTTTCTCCAATGAACAAACTGACATATCTTCATCTACTTCAATTTCTCCATTTAGAAAGAAAAAAAAAATCTCAAAGTTAATATGAAAACCAGTGACATATCTAAAACTATTAATGTTAGTTTTGTCCAATTCTCTATATTAATAGTACAGAATTCAAGAGTCTTATAGTCATTAATTAATTTGCAACTATATAAAACATAGTTCTTTTAAAAAAGGAGAGTAGTGTAGCATATACCTGGTTTTATCAGAGATCCACTCTTCATTAATGTCCTCATGCATTCTTGGCAAAATTCTCATCACCTCTCCAGTCCTTGTGCTTACCACAATATTACTTCCAACTGCATCCATTACGTCAATAGACTCTGTCTTTCTGAGAAAATAAATGCATATATTTGCCTCATTGATTTTATGAATAAGAATAAAGTTTCTGCTATCTGGTTTACCCCAAACAAAAAACTGTGTAATTCCTTTATGAATTTCTAAAAATAATGGAACTCAGAGAAAATGCTTTAAAATTTTTTTTAAAAACCCTCATATTTGAACACATCACATAAATTCCTAATGCAAAAATGAAGCCTTTAAAATTATTATCTGATATAGAAGCCAACTGGAAGGGTTCTAAATGGGCAAATCTGAAATAATCTGAGTATTAAAATAAACAAGAAGGGAAAGATTTCTGGTGTGGTTAGTTAAGGAGTTTGACAATTCCTTCCTCCCTCCCCCACCCCCCCCAAAAAAAAACACACAACAAAAATAACACTGAACAAAATTAACAAAAACAACCAATTCAACACTCTGGAAACCTACTAAAGGGAAGCTCATGAGAAACTCTTATGCCTGGAAAAACTGCTTAACTTTGAATAAGACAGTGGCAATCAGTGGTATTCTGGCTTAGGGCAGTTCTGAGCCCTTCTCCCACCACTGTGAACTGGAAGTTTTGCCAGGAGAAGACAGGCTATGAAGATGGGAACTTCTTTCCTGCAGATAACAAATCACTCCATTTGGAGCAATGAGCAAAGTTGCCTGGGGAAGTGATATCATGGAGATCCTTGAGCTGAGGAGAGCCAAGGGTACTAGAGGCTGTAGTCACAGTTGGGGCAAGCACTCCTAGCAAACGCTGTGCATATATGCGCAGCTGAGGCCAGAGAGGGCCCCAAGCTATTCACACTCCTAGGCAACACTGAGATTCAAAGCATCCAGTGGAAAACACAGTTGGGCCAACTTGAAAACAGCCTGAACTTTGAATGTGCTCCTGTATCCACACACAGATCTACTGGCAGAGTATGGAAGCCTTATTGGCTGAGGAGAAGGGAGCAAATATCTAATTAAACATCTGTTTTGTACTGTTCTTCACCCCCCCATCTTTTGCACATTTAAATACAATGTTTGACATCTGGAATTTTTAGAAACCCATAAATTCTGGTGGAAGTTTAAAATTAGAGGGGAATTTGATTATGTTTCTAATATCTTAAAAATATTCAAATTTGTTGCACTACCTACTACACTTCTTGGTTTTATCAGAAGAATCAGAGATATATAAGAAAATTTATGAATGTTTATCATAGAATGTTAATTATAAAAATAGAAACAAAATGTCTAACCATAGGAAAGTACAATATATTCATATAGTTAAGAACTTAATATACCATAAAAACAGACCATAAATTTTAAACTTGCAGTTTCATTCTATCCTCCAACCTATAACTACTTATTTTTGAACAAAAGAATTTTATCTGCCCAGTTGTCATGGCTCAGTGGTTGAACATCAACCTATGAACCAGGAGGTCATGGTTCGATTCCCAGTCAAGGCATATGCCTGGGTTGTGGGCTTGATCCCCAATGTAGGGTGTGCTGGAGGCAATCAATCAATGATTCTCTCACATCACTGATATTTCTATCTCCCTCTCCCATTCTCTCTGAAATCAATACACACACACACACACACACACACACACACACACACACACACTAGGATTTTACTTAATGCAAACAAATAATTTAGCAGACCAAAGCACTTAGGACTCAGAAAGAAAATTCTTTAAAAAAATTTTAATAGTAGCAAAGGGCAAAAATTATTCAAAAATTACAGTAAGTACCTTGTTTCCCAAGGCCGGGCAGTGAAGGCATAGGGCTTAGATGTCAGGGCACCTACAGGGCAGATATCAATGATATTCCCAGACAGCTCAGACATAAACATCTTTTCAATGTAAGTGCCAACTTGCATATCATTTCCTCTGCCTGTTGTTCCCAAATCATCTACTCCTGCAATCTCACTTGCAAACCTGCAAGATAAAAATATACCATAAAGTGGTCAAATCCAGCAAAATTAACCTCCTTTTTTACAATGATTTTCAAGCACTAAAAAAAGATGTGAATATATTTTCAAAGGTGAGTATACTCCATAGATAAAAAATAATTCAATAGCCCCACTGATGTGGCTCAATGGTCAACTGTCAACCTGTAAACCAGGAGGTCACAGTTCGGTTCCTGGTCAGGGCACATGCTTGGGTTGCAAGCTTGATCCCCAGTTGGGGTTCATGCAGAAGGCAAGTGATCAATAATTCTCTCATCCTTGAGGTTTCTACCTCTGACCTCTCCCTTCCTCTCAGAAATGAATAAAAAATATATATTTTAAAAAATAAAAATTCAATGTTTGCATTTAATTGACGCATAGCACACATACATAAAATTGCATAAATTACATGTATATAGCTCAGCGAATTATCACAGAGTTAATACTTATGGATTTTGATTTTTTAATTCAACTGACATTGATATTAACCAAAAGTGACCAACTTATTCATTTTATTGGCTGATTCAAAAAAAAAAAATTAAAAACATTCCTCTTCTCCCACCAAATGAAAGTGATGTTATTTCACCAAATTTTATGAATATTAAAAAAGTATACAAATGATATTCCAGAAAAGGGGGAGTAGGGAATTACCTAATGCAGCGAGTACATTGTATACATCTAGTCATAATGGTCTTTACCAACGGCCCAATGTTCTTGTCCTCCACAGCACGTTTCCCCTCTAAAAACCGGCTCCTATCACTTCCAAACATCATGGACTGGTCCTTAAATAGATTACAAGAGAGTTAATCTAATGCTGCTAATAAAATTAAAACTTGAGACAACCAAAAAGATTTACAAGGTGAGCCCACATACCTGCAGATCACATTCGCCTCCCTGATCACAAATAGGGCAGTCCAATGGGTGATTTGCCAATAAGAACTCCATCACACCTTCCCTGTATGAAAAGTTAATATATAAAATGGTTTTCATATGCTATTTAAATAACCTTCACAGATGTATGCTATCGTATAATATTAATTTTACAGTTATAATCAGAAATGTCAATGTAACCATTATCCAAGTAGTATTAAAAACAACCTAAAAAATGCTTATAGAAGCCTAGAATAAAGTATCATTAGAGAATCTAGAAAATTATGACTTATAACAATACAAAATTACCGGAAGTTGCTGAATGGTCCTCAAAAAATATTCATATTAATTGAAACAAACACACACACACAAATGCAAAACAAATCAGGACCAGTACAGTAATATTTCACTGCAACAATCTCAGTTCAATCATTTTCTGCTCTAGGAAAAGTTACTAAGCCAAGCAACAATAAGTACCTGGCTTTTCTAGATTTCTCTGAGTTTGTCAAGATATTCCAACCTTTCATTACTGGCATGGCACAAGCAGCTACAACCTGAAATTTCAATAGAAACATCCGTAAGCATTTGTGTTTGTTTGTAATTATAAGTAACCCGACATATAAAAACATTAAATTATACTTTTGAAAAACAAGCAAAAAAGAGTATTTTTGAAGACTGATTTTTTTAACTTTCATATTCAGAATATGATAATCTGACACTTTATATTTCTTTTAGAAACAAATAAGACATTCTACATCTTAATTTTATTCTACCAATGCAATTTTCTATAGGAGGGTCTGAAACAGATAATCAAAAAACTGCTTTTTTGCCGAAACCGGTTTGGCTCAGTGGTAGAGCGTCGGTCTGTGGACTGAAAGGTCCCGGGTTCGATTCCGGTCAAGGGCATGTACGTTGGCTGCGGGCACATCCCCAGTAGGGGATGGGCAGGATGCGGCTGGTCGATGTTTCTCTCTCATCGACGTTTCTGGCTCTCTGTCTCTCTCTCTCCCTTCCTCTGTAAAAAATCAATAAAATATATTTTTTTAAAAAAACTGCTTTTTTTATTAGCAGGCATTACTGAATTAAAACTGCAGAAACCTAAATGAAATTAAACTCAAAGTGAACCTCTTCACTGCTACCCTTTTCTCTACTGAAAACGACACAACAGAAGCACTTCTGATGTACTGCTTAGCAACTCCACATCCTAGTTTCTAGTTGTGTGTCATATAGCCATTTGGAAATATTGTCAGCTGTAAAAAGTCACCTTTAATTTCTAAATTCGTTAGAATTTTATAGCCTTTGTGTATACAAAGCACTTTCATCAATGTGTTTCCATTTTTGAAGAGAACTAATCACACAAAAAAGTACATTTATAGATAGAAGAAAACAGGGCTGGATTCTCCACTATAACAACAGTGATTCTAAATACAGTTTGCTCTAAGATTGAAAATTTTCTACCTTCTACAGCATGGAGTGGAATTTTAGGAAACAAGTACCTTAGGAGCTTTCTCAATTTCAACAAGGCACATCCTGCAGTTTCCAGCAATTGACAGCCTTTCATGATAACAGAATCGAGGGATCTGCATGCCAACCTTCTCACAAGCCTAGAAGACAACAAGTAAAAAAGTTTTGCATTAGAATAATCTGATCTCATTCTAGTTGTGCCTAAGACACGGGAGGGGTGGTGAGGCCATCCTCCTACCTATCTTATTAGTCCTATTTATAAATAAATATCTATGTTTTCATTAATTCTTACTTCATCCCTGAGATTTCCTTCCTTTGCTCTGATTCCAACCCATCTGCTCTGAAGCTGCCTCTTAAGGATCCACAGCCATGTGTACATTTTACGTGGAAGAAACTAGATGAAGCATCCTCAGACTCAAGGCTTGATTCCCCATTTCCACTCTGAACCACTGTTCACCCCTCCCATTGAAACTCTATCCCACTGGTTTCGTACGCGGACATCTTCTTTACCTCCTCCTTTAGATTAGAGACTCCATTTCACACAGCCTCCCTGGCTATGATCTGGTTTTAGCTTTGGCTCCAAATAGCCAACCCAGGACTCACCCCCCTACTTTGACTGAAGCTCTTCCTAGTTCCTCTTTGCCTAGCAAGGGGGATTAGTTCTATCTACCAATTGGCACTCCTCCTTCTCTGAGCCTACAATAAGCATATTCAAATTTCCTCTAAAGTTAGTTCTTCCAGCTTAAGCCCTCACTTTAAAGCAATCTCATCAATGTCCAATGTATTAACTACTTAGTCAGGAAAAATGCAGTCTTCCTACTTGCTATCTACATGCAGTAAGAGAGATATTATTACAGCCTTTGTACTATCTCACATTCTATTTGATGACATCTATAGTTCATCTGCAGCCCAGAGTTCTCTCTTCTCCACGCTTTAGACTTAAACAGGCATTTATGCAAGTGTCTGCTCCAAAGAATTAAAATTCAACCTATTTGTGTCCCCTACTAATTCACCCCAAATTAGGCCAACAAATAATCCACAAAAATTCCTCTGCTCTTCATCATCCCTAAATCTTAGCTCTCACTCTCCTTTAATTCTAACATCTTGTTTTCATTCCCATCACTACCATCTATTTTAGGCCTTTTCATTTCCTGCTCCATTAATGCAAGATACTCTTTCCTTCTCTCTCAGTCCAGTTTTGTTTTTCTCCCAAGCCATCATCCTACTGTCACTGACATATTGCTCAATAGCCACAAAAACTCTGGATGGGTGAAACCACAAGCTCTTTAACATGGCTTATATTTTATTTCATGACTGGACCTTCCCTACAGAATAATTTGATTTCCTGTTATCTCATCTTCTACATATACCTTATGTTCCATCAATACTAAACTATGTGAATCTTCCTTGTCTATATCTTCTCAAATCTTTTCAGAAATCACCTGAGATGCTTCTAATATCTCTTTCTACATCCCCAATTCCTACCAAAATACTCTGCACTGTACCTTGACCATATTTTTGTTATATATTTATTGTTTACATGTCTGTACCTGGCAGACAGTCCAGAAATGGTGGCTAAAATGAATACAAAGCATTTGGCTCTGTGATAACTTGCAGACACAACAATGCATCACTTCTGCATGAACAATTTTCTTAGTTGCAGAGGATCATGGATTAACTCTGGATAAATTTGGAGAAACTAAATATTCAAGAAGGTACTGCCTTCACTTACCTGTTTTGTAGGTTATACTCCTAGAAATATACTGAAAATAGAAAGGTTACATGAAAGTCAAAGCATCAAGCAGGCTCACAATGAAAATAGAAAGGTTACATGAAAGTCAAAGCATCAAGCAGGCTCACAACAAACAAAGGTTACATTTCCCCCCAAACTTACCCATATGAACTAATAATTTTAAGTAACTTGAAATTTCTTAATGAACATTTATTTAGAAGGCAGAAGTGAAACAAAAGAATTGCCATTGTTCACCAAGAAAGTGAGAAACAGCCCTGGCTGGGAAGCTCAGTTAATTAGTGTCGATCTGATATGCCAAAGTTTTAGGTTTGATCCCCAGTCAGGGCACATACAAGAGACAACCAATGAATGCATAAATAAATAGAGCAACCAATCTATGTTTATCTCTTTAATCAATAAAATAAAATTTAAATAAAAGAAAATCAGAAACATAAATGACAACTCACTTTGGAAGATTTCAATTCAGTTATTTTCATGTACCTATAGTTCTTTTATGAGTATTTATTAAGAAATCTTGAAAAATTTAGAGATAAATAAACAGTATAAAGAAATAAATTGATATTTTTCTAAAAAGCAGAACATACACAAATGTAGAGAATTAGAAATATGCCTACTTGGAGGACAGTAGTTCCTGGTTCCACCATGACAGGTTGGCCATCAACAAATACTTCAATTAAGTTGCTTGCTGCTGTGGCAGTTGTTCGAACTGACCATCAAAAATATTGAAGTGAAAAATAGATTAATACAGTGAATTCATTATAGCAGAGGATAATGGGTTAATTACCTCTAAAGCCTAAGATTTCTCTAGATTCAAACTTTTAAAATACTGAATTACAAAAAAGCTTTTTAATCTTGAATACCAAACAGAATATAGTTGTCTACTTTTAATAGCAATTTAAGTTAAAACTTTTAATACTACTAAAAATATGTTCATGGAAAGTCCACTTTTCAAAATCAGAATGTTTTTTTTTCATTTGCGGCACTGATGGGCAGTTCCAGTTACTTTATATTCCTTGATGACTTCTATAAACTGTTTAAGCTAAGTTATAATTCCCAAATTATCCTACTCAACTTGGGTCATTTGTTTCTATTTTTATTTTAAACAAATTAAGAGTTTAGGGTCTTTCAATAAACATCCCATAGACCTATGGATTTATAAAAATAGAAAGTCGAGTACAAACTAATGGAAATTAAAAAAAGTACTCACCATATTCTTTAGGAGACTTAGAAAGGCCTACTAAGGCCCTTCTCACAGGAATCCTTAACATGTTGCTAAGAATGAAACAAAGAAGAGTTATATTATTGTAGAAAGAATCCTAATTACAAACTTTTTGGTAATATTTTATGGTTTTAAAACATTCCACATACATTATTTCATTGAACATTAACAAATTCTGGTATTTTCCCTCAAATTCTATAGATGAGAATATTCAGTCTCAAAGAGATTACTGACTTATACCATGTCAAGGAGCCAAGCAGCAGCAGCTGGTATATAAATGTGGGCCTTCTAATTCTATGTAAAGGGCAGTTTTGTTGTTTTTAACTGTTAACAAATTATCATACTTAAAATACTATTATACAATAAAATAAAGTTCAAAAATAACAGTGAGCTGCCGAAACTGGTTTGGCTCAGTGGAAAGAGCATCAGCCTGCGGACTGAAGGGTCCCAGGTTTGATTCCGGTCAAGGCATGTACCTCAGTTGCGGGCACATCCCCAGTAGGAGGTGTGCAGGAGGCAGCTGATCCATGTTTCTCTCTCATTGATGTTTCTGGCCCTCTCTCTCTCTCTCTTCCTCTCTGTAAAAAAAATCAATAAAATATGTTTAAAAAAAAAAAAAAAGAATAACAGTGAGCTTATCATTAATGTCTATGTAAAGTAAAGCCTACCTTTCTATGTCCATGTCCTAACAATATGCCTTCTAATATTCTTAGCAATTATATTGTAAATGCTCCTGACATATTCTGAGCTAGCTCACAAGCGCAACCCTTTGAAGTGTCTGGCGTGCCATTTGCTGTACTGAATAGTACATTTAACTTACAGATTTGCAATCATCTGTTCTTCTCCTACTGCATTATGAATTTATCTTCAATGTCTAACCCCAAGCTAAAAAACACTGGTTCTCAGCCATGAAGAATTCTGCTTCCCAGAGAACATTTGGCAATGTCTGGACACATGGTTGTCACAACTGGGGGAAAGGTACAGGCATCTAGGGGCAAGGCCAGGGTCCTCTAAACATCTTACAATGCACAACACCAGACAGTCCCCCCAAGAGTCATCCAAAGTGTCCATAGTGCTGGACGTTGAAAAACCCTGCTCTGAGAGATTTGCTGAATTACTGAAATACACAGAAGTGCATTACCTAAACAACAATTACAGACATGTATGAGCAAACAGAAAAGTTAGCTGAACTTTTAGAGGTTTTTGTCCATTCACTTGAACAGATGGCTAAGCATCCAAATTGTAGTTTTTCACTTGGAATTTTCAAAAATGCAAATTGTGCATTCAGAAGATATCAACATAAAGAATTTCCAAGGTAAAGAGAGTGGAAAATAATGTACAGAGTGTCCCAAAAAATGTATACACACTTTGAATATAAAGGCAGTTTATTAAGATACATTTCATTTAAGAGCTATTTGCTGTTAAAGCGTGTACACATTTTTTGGGACACCCTGTATATATACCTACGTGTTAAGCATCAAGTTTCATATACTTGCTACAGATGATATACAATGGGGAATTTCATTAAATCAGTTTTCAAATAATTCATAAAACTCATCAACTCTGAATCTGTGATACTGAATTTGCAGGCATCAGGTCTATCACCTACTAGTGAATGGTTTTTGGTAAATGAGTAACCCATACTTCCTAGGCTGTGCTATTTGTTGGAGCCGAATAAATGTCAGTTCAAGCTGAAGTGAGTTCAGGCAGTATTGGCCCCTTAAGGCCGGTTTTAAAGTGCCCTTTCGTGCCCCTTCTCACACTCTCAGCACACACACCGAATATACATCTTTATTCCACCTAGCCAACGGCAGGTGAGTAACCCAATTTCAGTACCTACTGCACTGCAAGCTCCTGGACAAGAAATAATGCCCTCCGGTCACTTCCTTTCTCTGGAGACTTACTACCAGGTCCCTGGGGTTAAATAACCATCCAATAGGCCAGTGCTTCCCAAACTTCTCTCGTGATGAGAATCACTTGGTAGAGTTGTTAAACTACAGATTCCTGAATCCCAACTAAGAAGTGCTAAACTAGAATTTTTGGGATCATATAGGTAAAATTGTATACTTAACTAAGCTCTAGAGCACTAGTTAAGTATACAATTTTACCTATATGTATTAGAGCACTAGTTAAGTATACAATTTTACCTATATGTATTAGAGCACTAATTAAATATACAATTTTACCTATATGTTCCCAAAAATTCTAGTTTAGCACCTCTTAGTTGGGATTCAGGAATCTGTAGTTTAACAACTCCACCAGGTGATTCTCATCACGAGAGAAGTTTGGGAGACACTGCAATAGGCTAATGACCAGTTTCCAGAATGAGCAGCATCTGCCCTATGAAAACCTGATGTAGAGGTAAACCTCAACTTGCTGAATTCGAGTAATGACAGATTCAAAAAAAATCACAAATCAACGATGCACACACAATTTGGTGGGAGGGAAAAGGACATTAAACAAAAAAAAAAAAAAAACAAACAAACGCTGACGTTTCGTCATCAGAAACGGGTCCCGTTACATGGTCAGGAGCGGCGCTGGGTCTGACCCACCGCCGCCTTGCAGAACAGGCGCCTGAGTCCAGGGACTTGCTAACGGGGCGGCCGTGCTGCCCGCAGGCGACCTTGGGATAACTTTCCGAGTCTCCCCCGTCAGTTTCCCCGCCAGCGCACCGACCGAAAAGTGCTACCCAAACGCAAACAACGAACAAAACTAAACACAAAGGGACAACCGGAGGCGTGGACGGTTGCTACGGCGATAGTGCACGCCCTGCCCCGGCGAGGGGCAGATTCGGGAGGAAAGGCTCAGCCTTCGGGCTTCGGTCGCTGGACACCGGTCCTCCTCCAGGGAGCACGGCGCCCCGCTCCCCGGCCCGGGGCACGTCCTGCATCTCCGCTGCGGAGGGAAGGTCACCCCACGGCCGCCGCCTGCTCGCCGGCTCCAGCAGCCCGGCCTCCGTGGCCGGCAGACCTCACCTGGGCTCCCGGGGAGGCGGGGTGGGACGCGGCGCCCAGTCAAGGACAAGGGGAAAGTGAGTCTCCTGGGCCAAAGGAACGTTTTGTCAAGAAACAAACTCCTGAGGCCCTGGCGCCTCCACCTTCTCACCCACACACGGCCTCACCTTGTCTCCGGAGCCGCCGAGGGCACTCGGCTGGACTGTGTGCGCCGCACCGGACCCCCTTAGACGCCCGGTAGCTTATTCAATATGGCGGCCTCGGCGAACTCCGACAGCCGGGCCCGGAGGACGGGAAGCCAGGAGGGACCAGAAACCTCAGGTTCGCCAGGCTCCCCGCTCAGGCCCGCTCCGGCAATTTCCGTCAGTTTGACAGAAAGCCGGGCGGAGGGCGTGGCCTGCCGGGAGGAGGCGGGGATTGGAGGCCTGGCTGCGCACTTCCGCCGGAAGTGCCCGGCAGGCGGAGGCCGACCCGCTTCGGTCATCTCCGGTGCTTCAAGGGGCGGTCCCTGTGATCTTCGGGAAGGGGAGGGGAGGGAAGGGGGCGCCGCCGAGGTACTCCTTTAAGAAATACCCTTTTTTATCAATTTCTATCCCGACACCAAGAAAGACGCCCGGAGAATCTGAGGGCCGTCTCACCCAGCGCCCCGGCTTGTACGCGGAGGAATGAGAAGGTTAACGTCCTTTGACCTTTAACCTTGGCGGCGGAGGGAAACGCCCCCGTGTCTATATAAGGAGTTTTCCGGCTTTTGGCGGCCCTTTTCCCCGTCTTAGCGCTCGCCGGCGATCGCCCGCGTCCCGCTCCCCGCCGCCGCCGCCCAGACCCCGGGTCCGCCAGCGCCATGGGCTTCGGAGACCTCAAGAGCGCGTCCGGCCTGCAGGTGCTCAACAGCTACCTGGCGGACAGGAGCTACATCGAGGGGTGAGCGCGGGGCCGGGCGCCGGGGCCACGTGGCGCGGCCTCCCAGCCGCCGGGGGACTCCTCGGGGAGGGGCTCCGAGGGAAGAAGGGTCCCAAAGCTGCTTTTTTAAAGCATTCATTGGCTGTCCACCCGCTTTTTCCGCGTCTTTGCTCGGTAGATGGAAGCCTGTAGGTAGGTGTGCATTCTAGACGGTGCACCCCCTGAGGTCTAACAACTGTCAGGCATGCCTCTGGCTCGAACAGAACAAGTGGTTCCTTACCTGAAAGATCTCATTTGCCTAAAAGCTCAAAGCCTGCTTCGATGGCCCTGTGACACACGGGGAGGTCCCACTAATGAGCTGGACAGACCTGGCGTCTGTCATTACGCGTGGCTGTTCGTTGGGAGCTGTGTGTTAACCTCTGTCCCTCGGCAGGTACGTGCCATCCCAAGCAGACGTGGCAGTGTTCGAGGCAGTCTCCGGCCCGCCGCCCGCCGACCTGTGCCATGCCCTTCGCTGGTACAACCACATCAAGTCCTACGAGAAGGAGAAGGCCAGGTAAAACCGCCCTGGGGTGCGTCCGAAGCCTGGCGTGCCCTCTTAAGTTTTTCACTTGGCAGGGCAGGACCCAGGCGTCTTCCATTGTGCTAACTTTGTGACTTTATTTATCATTACTGTCTTTTAACATTTTAATGATTTTCTTTCTTTTTTTTTTTTTTTACAGAGAGGAAGGGAGAGGGATAGAGAATTAGAAACATCTATGAGAGTGAAACATCAATCAGCTGCCTCCTGCACATCCCCTACACGGGATGTGCCCACAACCAAGGTACATGCTCTCGACCAGAATCGGAATCTGGGACCCTTGAGTCCACAGGCCAATGCTCTATCCACTGAGCCAAACCAGTCAGGGCTTTATTAATTTTTTTACAGAGAGGAAGGGAGAGAGATAGTTAGAAACATCGTTGAGAGAGAAACATGGGTTAGCTGCCTCCTGCACGTCCCCCACTGGGGATGTGCCTGCAACCAAGGCACATGCTCCTGACTAAGGCACATGGAACTGAACCCCGGGACCCCCAGTCCAAAGGCTGATGCTCTATCCACTGAGCCAACCTGGTTAGGGCTAACCTTGTGACTTTAGGAAGAGACTGAAGCCCTCTGTGTTTCCGCAGCCCAGGTAGCACATGGACAGCAGCAGTTCAGCTTTCCCCCACGCTGCCCTGCCCTGGGGGCCACCTCTGGGTTGAGAGGGTGGCTCCTGAGGTGGGTCCTGGGCCATTCTTCTGAAACTGCTAACAACAGCGGAAGTTTGGGGAAATGGACTCTAGTTCACTTAGAATGGAATTGAGCTTACTTAATGAAATCTCAAAACAGAAATACTCATTGTGGTCCCTGACCAGTTTGGCTCAGTGGATGGAGCATCTGCCTGCAGACTGAAGGGTCCCAGGTTGGATTCGGATCAAGGGCATGTATCTTGGTTGCGGGCACATACCCAGTAGGGTGTGTGCAGGAGGCAGCTGATTGATGTTTCTCATCAATGTTTCTAACACTCTCCCTCTCTCTTTTTCTCTTAAAAAATCAGTAAAATATATATTTTTTAAAAAAAGAAATACTCATTGTGAAAGAGTAAAGCCTAGTGAGGATTGGATGTATTATACTAGCTCACATGCTACCTATGTTTGTTGGGTGAGGAGTTAAGACATAGGAAAGCACTTAGCTGGGAGTGTTCAACAGGTTCTGGTAAATAATGATTGAAAACCAGTCCTGGTGTGTTTTCCCGAGTAAATAAGTTGTATCCACCTGATAGTTACATTTCATTACTGTTTTTTAAAGCCTGCCCGGAGTGAAGAAAGCTTTGGGCAAGTATGGTCCTGCTAATGTGGAAGACACCACCGGAAGCGGGGCTGCCGACAGTAAAGACGATGATGACGACATTGACCTCTTCGGGTCTGACGACGAGGAGGTATGGCAGCAATTGGTGTGAGTGCATCCTTGCGCTTAAGCACAGGCTCTGGCCTGATTGACTGGGTTTGAATCCTGGCTTTTAAAGAATTCTCACTGGTTACATGATGAATCAAATCAAATCACCATCTTTCGGCTGAACTTGAGCTCGTGATGGATTTGCTTTTTTCTGATAAAGCTGGTATTGTGATGACCTCCCTGTCGCTAGCCTGATGAAAACCGGCTTTGTGAAATATATTAAATTTTTTTCTTTACAGGAAAGCGAAGAAGCAAAGAGGCTAAGAGAAGAACGCCTTGCACAGTATGAATCAAAGAAAGCCAAAAGTAGGTCATCTTATAATTGTTTGTCTTCATTTCATAATAGTGTGAATAACCTTTTTCGAAGATAATCCCCAAAGTAATTTCCTCATTTTCTGAGTAGGCGAGTATCTCAAAACTTTCTGTAGAACTTCCACAGCTACTGGTCTGCAGCTGTTCTCCTGGTGGCAGCTGTGGCATTCCTCTGTGGGAAAGAAATTGTTACACGATCAAACACCTCTTTCTTAGCAAAATGGAAAGTGGGCATATGTGTGACAAACATGAGATGTATTCCATTGTTTTGTGTGGCTAAGGAGATGATTTTGAAAATCAAGATTTATTGTGATTCAGCTGGCGTGGCTTCGTGGTTGAGCATTGACCTATGAATCAGGAGCTCATGGTTTGATTTCCAGTTCGGGCACATGCCCGGGTTGCAGGCTCGATCCCCAGTATGGGACGTGCAGGAGGCAGCCAATCAGTGATTCTCATCATTGATGTTTCTTTCTCTCCCTCTCCCTTCCTCTCTGAAATCAATAAAAGTATATTTAAAAAAGAGATTTGTGTCTGAACGAGGGGAAAAAAGACATTACTTAAATAATGCTGTTTCTTATTTTTTTAGAACCTGCACTTGTTGCGAAGTCTTCCATCTTATTAGATGTGAAGCCTTGGGATGATGAGACAGATATGGCAAAATTAGAGGAATGTGTCAGAAGCATTCAAGCAGATGGCTTGGTCTGGGGCTCTTGTGAGTTGAACCTTTCTTCATTGAAATCGGCATCAGAAATTTTCATAATGTCAACCTTTGCCCATGAACATAACTTCTCTTAAGATTTTTCTTATTGTCCTTTTCAGCTAAACTGGTTCCAGTGGGGTATGGAATTAAAAAGCTTCAAATACAGTGTGTAGTGGAAGACGATAAAGTTGGAACAGACATGCTGGAGGAGCAGATCACTGCTTTTGAGGACTATGTGCAGTCCATGGACGTGGCTGCTTTCAACAAGATCTAAAATCCATCCCGAATCCGTGCCCTTAAATAAAAGCTTGAAAAATAACCCTTGGCTCTTGACTCTAATAGGAGGGTGTATGGTTGTCCCTTAAGAGGCTGGTGTGCTGAGCCCCCATTTAGCCGGAAGTTTGTGTTTAACTGTTCTTTTTTTATTTGTGTGTCTGGATTTTAGAGAGAGCGATGGATCAGCTGCCCCTGCACTCTGATGGGATGAATCCCAGGACCTAGGTATGTGCCCAGACCTGGAATCACCAGCAATCAGCTTCTGACAGTAACTCACTGAGCCACACCAGCCAGGGCTAAGATTGTTCTTAATATTAAGTTCCTAGATGTCCCTAGGGGATTGGTTCCAGGGCTCCTTTTAAAATGGTGTAAGAAGGCGTGCTATTGGCCTCCATCCACAAATGCAAAACCCAGATGTACAGAAGTACTTTTTAGATTCTGCATATAAGTGGGCCCACACAGTTCAAGTTCATGTTTAAGCATCACTATTCATTCCATTTTGAGAAATTCAGTGACCGTGTAATTCATAAATTTGGGTCAGCATTCTTAGTCCAAAAAGAGAAACTATCTATTACACTATATAGGTAGGTGTTGAATAAATTTTAGAAACATTTAAATGGACTTAATCTCAGTATAATTTCTGTACCTATTAGTGATGGCTTAAGTTTTCATATTTGCTTTTTTTTTTTATATATATATTGATTTTTTTTTTTTTTACAGAGGGATAGAGAGCTAGAAACATCAATTAGAGATCAACCAGCTGCCTCCGCCTGCACATCCCCTACTGTGGATGTGCCCACAACCAAGGTATATGCCCTTGACCGGAATGGAACCTGGTACCTTTCAGTCTGCAGGCCGACGCTCTTATCCATTGAGCCAAGTCAGTTTCGGCTATTTGCTTTATTTTTAAAAGAAATTGGGAGCTTTCCCTAACCAGTTTGGCTCAGTGGATAGATAGACCATTGGCCTGCGGACTCAAGGGTTTGATTCTGGTCAGGTATATATCTTGGTTGCGGGCACATACCTACTGGGGAGTGTGCACGAGGTGGTTAATGTTTCCTATCGATGTTTCTGGCTCTCTATCCCTCTCCCTTCCTCTCTAAAAAATCAATAAAATATGTTTTTAAAAAATTGGGAGCTAAAAATTTCAGTTGTGGAAATTTTGGGTTAAGAAATTAGCTCCAGCCTGGTTGGTGTAGCTCAGTGATTCAACTATGACATGAACCAGGATGTCCTGGTTTCATTATGGTCAGGGCATGTGCCCAGGTTTCAGGCTCATTCCCCAGATGGGCATGCAGGAGGCAGCCAGTGAATGATTTTCTCTCATTGATCTCTCTAAATTCAATTAAATAATATATTTTTATATATATTTTATTGATTTTTTTACAGAGAGGAAGGGAGAGGGATAGTTAGAAACATTGATCAGCTGCTTCCTGCACACCCCGTACTGGAGATGTGCCTGCAATCAAGGTACATGCCCTTGATAGGAATCTAGCCTGGGACCTTTCATTCTCAAGGCCTATGATCTATCCACTGAGCCAAACAGGTATTGGCTAAATATTAAAAAGAGTCCTAATGGGTTGGCTCAGTGGATCGAGCATCAGCCTGCAGACTCAAGGATCTCAGGCCGAAACCAGTTTGGCTCAGTGGTAGAGCATCGGTCTGTGGACTGAAGAGTCCCAGGTTCAATTCCGGTTAGGGGCATGTACATTGGTTGCGGGCACATCCCCGGTAGGGGGTGTGCAGGAGGCAGCTGGTCGATGTTTCTCTCTCATCGACGTTTCTAGCTCTCTCTCCCTTCCTCTCTGTAAAAAATCATTAAAATATATATATATATTTTTTTTTAAAAAAGGATCTCAGGTTCTTTTCTCATCAAAGACATGTACCTTGCTTGAGGGCACATCTCCAGTAGGGGGTGTGCAGGAGGCAGCTGATAGATTTTTCTCTCTCTGATGTTTCTAACTCTATTCCTCTCCCTCTGTAAAAAATCAATAATATCTATGTAAAAGAAAGAAATTTGCCCCAGCCCTATCCAATTTGGCTCAGTGGTGAGAGCAATGGGCTATGGTCCAGAGTTTGATTCTGGTCAAGGGCACAAACTTCGATTGTAGGCTAGATCCCCTATCCCAGCCCCTTCCTGCCCCTCCAGGGTGAGTTAGTGGAATTGATGTTTCTCTTGGTCCCTCCCCAGGCTGTGGTTTGTTCAAAAGTCTAGCTTGCGGGTTGCGGTGGGTAGTGACTTAAGTAGGACAATTATTTTTTGAAAATCTGTATGGGCTAGGACTTTTTGGGCTAGGACTTCATACTGATGTTAGTGCTGCAGGTAATTTACTGAGCTGAAGGCATTATGTTAAGTGATTGTCCAATTCTGGTAACAGTCCCATCTTAATTTGGGATGTATGTAACATTTTATTTATTTATTTATTTATTTATTTATTTATTTATTTATTTATTTTACAGTTTTTATAAAAAGTAGAGCTTGGAAATTGCTGACCTCCAAAGGTCCCTGTAGACCAAAGAGATGAAATGATTTGAGGTCAAAAGTTTCTTGGCGGAGGCCCTAACCGGTTTGGCTCAGTGGATAGAACATCGGCCTTCGGACTCAAGGGTCCCAGGTTTGATTCCTTTTGATTCCAGTCAAGGGCATGTACCTTGGTTGCAGACACATCCCCGGTAGGGAGTGTGCAGGCAACAACAGATTGAAGTTTCTCTCTCAGTAATGTTTGTGACTCTATCCTTCTCCCTTCCTCTTTGTAAAAAAAAAATCAATAAAATATATATTTTTAAAAAAGTTTCCTAGCAGAACCAGACAATGCTGTTATTTTCTCCCCTTTCAATCTAATTTTATATGTGACTAACTTGACTGGAAAATTGTTTAAATTCTAGAGGAAAATTATTCAATTGGGCATGTACAAACCGATGATGAAAATCATCTTCACTTGTATTTAATTGGGCATGTACATACTGATGACTAAAATCATCTTCACTTGAGCAAGTCCAACAAACCCAGTCTGAAATCACGGGACAGGCAAGGGAGCGGGAAGAGATTAAGCAGAGAACCCATGGACACAGTGAAGGCTTGGGAGTGTAGGGGGCTAATGGACGGGGAAGGGACATCAGTAATAAAGATAAAAAAAGAAGCGGAATCCTCGATTGCATTTTCTTCACCCTTCCATTTTTTCTGCCGCAGGCCTTTCCCCTGTCCACCTCCAGTGCTCAAGAGTGAACTGCTTCAGAGAATCTAGTCATCTTAATAAAACACGGGGTTGGTTATGACATCAAAATTTTACCTATGTGAAGTGGTTTTCTTTTCAAACTTACACACCTTTTGTTCAATTCCATGTAATTGTCATCTCACTCAGTATCTTAAAAATAAAAACTATATAGCTCATTAAGCCTTATTTAACAATATAAAAGGCCATGTTGAAATTTCAGGATTGCTGCTTTAAGGATTACATGCTGTTAAACTAAAATTTTATTCAACTTATGGGAAGACGAGAGTTTTCTTAGCATCCTATCCATGTTTGTTGCACCTAAGTGGAACTTCTGAATTCTGTACTGCTTCAGATTTTCATAAGTTTTTTTCTCTCTCTCAAAAAAAAAAAAAAATCTGATTATACCTGAGACGTTGGTATTTGGGCTGGAGAATGGCACTGGGGTTTCGTGTAGTTTAATCTGTGCTCTATTCTGCAGGTGGGGTGGGGGGGTGCCTTCAATGCCATCTTCAAGGAGGTGGTGCGTGTGGAAAACTCTCAAGGCTACAATTGCTCAGAGCCCCAGGCTCCTGGGGTGCCCATGGAGGAAACTGTGAGCTAGACAGAATGATGGAGAAGTGGGAGGGAAATAAAAAATAATGTTTTAAAGAAGTTAGACATTATTTAAAAAATTAGAATAAAAAAAAAAAGTGGGCGGGAGGTTCGATGGGGTCTATTTTGCACCTTTAGTGAGGGGTTCGGAATTGATTTGGTGTAAGAAACTTAAACTTCCCTGCCCATCTCCCTTCATCTTAGTTGGCAAAACCACACCCTGGTTAAATCCACTTTTCTCTCTCCTGCATACATGCACTTGTGCAGCTGATTTCGGGGAAGCGCAGCCACATAACCGCCGGAATCACTCAATTCATCAAATTCCAAGTGGGCCTCCATACTAGCAGGGATCAATCACCTCACATGCCCTGAGGCTTTGTCTTCAAACCTCTCCCACATGCACCCTGAGTTTCCCCACAAACCAGCCCTGGCCTAGTCAGTATCTGCACTCCTTTAACCAAGACAACCACTGGGTGAAGACAGACACATATATTTTGCTCTGGAGTGGAATCAACCAGCAACGACTGGAGTCGGCTTCTTTTGTTCAACATAATGCACTTAATTCATAGTCTTGTATGTATGTGTTAATAGTTTATTACTTTTTCTGAGTAGTAGTTCCTGTGTGACCATGTCACATGTATGTAACTTGCTTGTTAATGGACATTCACGTTATTTCCAATTGGGGGGTTATGTTTGTATAGATTTAAACAAAATAAAATCACTTGAGACATTTTCAGGTTGTCATTATCATGAGAGACAGCAGAGGGCAGTCTTTCCTTTTCTGGAGACACATCCTATGGATCCTGGAAATGCTGCAATGGAGAGATGTGACTAGTGAATAGCAGCCAAAACATAATGTAGTCGTTGATATTCAAAGGATTGGTACTAAATAGCTTGACCAAAACATTAAGTTTTAACAAATATTAATGATAAACTAATGATTGAAAATTTGGTTAAAAGTGAAAGGAGTTTGAAAATGTAGAATGGTGAGCTGAAGCCACAACTGTCTTGTAAATCTTAAAAAGATAACAGGTGAAATGTGACCAAATATTGACTCCACAGCCTTGAATAAGAAATATATTTAATAGTATATTTTCATTTCATATTTAAAAAATAGATAATACATTAATATAGTTCAAAATGTAAGAGGTTATATATGAAATCTCCCATCTTCTAGTTCACTTCCATAAAA